TTTTCCAAGCTCAATACAACAATTACACCAGTAGATTAAATTTAATATTTTATTTTTAAATTCTGGGTTTTATAGATCCAGCAATATCCATCACCTTTTTCTATATTTGATACTATTTTATAACCCAATTTTTTATAATACTTATTTATATTATCTGATATCAATTCATTGTCGTCTTGAGATAGTTGAACATCGAAATTAATATAAAATTCCAAACAATCACTTTCATATTGTTCGTTTGTCCCTTCCAAAGATATTAGTGAATTATAAACAAATTCACTAATATCATCAAAAGTAATAGCTAATCGACATTTTAAATTATATTCTTGGTTTTGTACTTGTTCTGGAACTTGAATCGATGTCTTTTTTCATTTATTACAGCATTTTTGACATGCTGTCACTTGTTTTCCTTTCTTATTAATAAAACATTTGTATGCTTGCTTTGTATGACATTGGTTACAATGAATTTTTATTTCTGTCATTTTGTTATGATCAATTTTTTTTTAAAAAAAATTCATTATTTTATTATTATAATCAATTTAATATACAAGCCAAAAAATCAAATATCATCATAGTGATTCAAGTGATATCAGCTGTATTTTTTTTTATGGGCGATCCTAGATCTGCTGTAATATAGAGCTCTTTATTACGTAAAATTTACATCTTACGTCTTGCTTGTTCTTTTTAGTCTTTTTTAGTTAACAATTTCAGGTAATTAACGCTTATATACGGCTAATATAGTAATGAGCAAGTAATGAGTAGTAAAACATTCACCTTTAAGTGAAGTTACTGAATATTTTTGAATATTTTTATATTATGAACGTTAACACTCTTCCACACATATTGGTAGTATTTACGATGGTTTTTGTTAATGAAACGATACATTCTCAAAAAGTACTTTAAAATATTATATACAATAAGTTACCTGGGCACAGCCAATTAGATGAAAGCTTTCCTATGTCTTCTAAGCTCATTTGGGCCTTGAAATAACAAATGACTAGTCATTTGTCATTTGGGTCGTTTGAGGTCATTTACCATCCCTGCGTACGTATACAAAATTTTTTTTTACGTAGGTTACAAGATCAGGTGTAACATGACATTTTTAAAAGATTAAACATAAACTGTCCGGAAAGTGCACTTTGCATTCTAATAAAAAAATCGTTGCTCTATCTAACTCTAGAATAACGCCAGAGCAAATTTTACAGAATAGAGGTAAATAGAATATTTACTCGAGTCTGTCAAACGTATGATTCTGGCAAAATATCGCGTAAAAACTTTTTTTAAAAAAACGGCTACGGATAGAACAGATTCTATCTGACACGAAAGGCACTGAACATTCGAATTGAGTTCTTATCCGATAATTAAGAAAATTCAATATTTGGAAGTAAATAATTATTCTTGATCTTTGTTGTATATTATATTAAACATGTATGAAACGTTTATAAACGTTTACTTATGCAAGCTATTAATATTTTTAACTTCGTTTTTCCATAAAAATTTGAATTTGTTTATGGAATTCCTAATTGTTTATTGTCACAATACCGGGAGTCTATTATTGTTTTTTAAACTCGCTATTCGAATCCAGAATATACGCTTTATTTATTTTAATCAAAACCTACAATTCGCATTAAACAATAAAATCGGGTCTCATATTAGAATTGAATAAATAATTGTAGTTGCTTCAAATGATAACTGAGATGCCTCAGATACCGGTTAAGACACTTCGGGTCAAGTTACGACGCACTTCATCAACGATCAATATCTGAGTTATCTCAGTTATTTGAGGCAAAACATTTATAAATAATTAAATTTTGATTGAAATAATGAATAGAACTTTTGATTTGTGAAGAGCTTTCAACATGATTTTTCAATGAATTTTTTTTATCGAATTCATTTTCGAAATCAAATTCAACTTATGTTAAAGTGGCATTTCTGTGTAGAAGCAAATAATAATGGTAAGTTTTTAGGTCCAGGACCCAGGATCTGGTCTTGGGGCCTCGTTATACAATAATGGTTCAAAAATTTTGCATTCTCAGATCGCGTATTTATGTGAACTTTATATATAAAAATTTTTACTCGAGCATTATTACATAGTAAGAACATCCCAAATGGAGAATGAACCACTTGAAAGCAACTGTCAGACGGTAGTTTTCCTACAGTAGTATATTCCCTAAATATTAAAAATACATAATTTTCAGCCAATCAAAATATAAATTTTAAAATAATAAAAAATCGAAATGAAATAATTATAATAATCGCTACAATATTTAATTGTTATACACTCAATTCTATACTTAATAAACTTAAATATTCACATTTTCATATTATTATCTTATTGAGGAGACCTTTAAATATTATAGCTTTGTTCTCACTTACCGTATACTAAAACTTTGCAAACAAAAATAAAAATAAAATAAAAATAAAAAAAAAACAAAAAGGGCGTTACTATTCGTGCCCCCTATTTTTGCTACTTTCTCTATAAATATTATATAATTTACACTATTACACATTATACTTTTATTCATAGATTATTTTAAATGTAGATTTGTGGTTAGGGATACGAACTAAAAAAAATGGCGAAAGTAATAACTAATATTTGTATGCTTCAACATTTTAAAAATTTAATACGTAGTGTATTGTAAACCTCACTTAAGCTTGGAATAAATTATGCTTAAGGGTTAGTAGGACGATGATTTGTACTAAAATTTCATGAGATTAGGCCATACAAACTTAATAAATTGGTTCTCATAACCCGGCCGGGTCAAATTTCGCAAAATTCTTAAAAAATTTTTTGACTATATTTACTATCCGGGTGAAGTTTTTTTAGAAGTTTATAAAAATTTTTATATGCTTTTTATATATATAAATTTTTTTGAAAATAAAATTAAAAGCCGGGTTGCCGGGTCATTTTTCAAATTTTATGTTATGAGAACCAAAAAATTAAC